CAGGAATCAAACTCATCAACTCTGGAATTTTAAATGAAAATGATTGTTTCATGATACGATAACCCTGTCCATATATATTAATGTTTTATAGACCACCAGAGGATTATGTGCTTTGAAAAGCTCTATTGATAGTGAATTAATTTACCTCAGTGATGGAAAATTAACGAGTATTGGCAAGACACTCCTTAAATTGAGTTATCCTATTACATAAAATACTATATAAATGTTTTGTCAGGTTGTTGGGTGGCTTATTTGTTTTGTTTTGATTTTTAACCTTTCAAGAGTATATATATACCTTAAAAACTAACTGCTACTTTTGAACAAATATATTTGAAAATTGTGCCTCTCAGATTGTTGTATAAAATTCATTTCATTCTTCAAGCCATTATTTATTTTTTTATTTTTTACAATCACTTTTAATGAGCATTTTCTATGCAGAGGAGAAGTATGTTACAAAGTATACCGTGTTCTTTAAATATAAGTAATAAGTATCCCATATCACTCTCTCTTTCTGAATTATCACTCTCGAGCTATACCAGAATTCTTTCAATTCTTTTTTTTTTTTTTTTTGCGCTGCTCGGTCTTCTCACTGTTGTGGCCTCTCCCATTGCAGATAACAGGCTCCGGACGCGCAGGCTCCGGAAGCGCAGGCTCAGCGGCCATGGCTCACGGGCCTAGCTGCTCCTCAGCATGTGGGATCTTCCCAGATCGGGGCACGAACCCGTGTCCCCTGAATCGGCAGGTGGACTCTCAACCACTGCGCCACCAGGGAAGCCCCTCTTTCAATTCTTAACTTGTGCCAAGTTCACTCACACTTCAGGAACTTTTACCCACCCTTCCTTCTGCCACCATTCTTTACTAGATTATTTTTTTAATTCATTATTTTTCCAGAAGACCCTGATGTCCTAGTCTAAGTTTGGTTTTCCACTTGTGAACTTCCATAAGTGCTGTATCTTCTGTACTATAGTATTTAGCATTCTCTATTACTTGCTGCTCAACTGTGAGATTTCTGTAAACAAGGGTATCATCTCTCTTGTTTGTCCTTGCATCTTCAGTCTCAAGAAGTGTCTGGAAGAAAGAAAGGAATAAATAAATATTTAACAGATAGATTGATGAATGGATGGATAGGTGAAACAGTGATATGAGAAAACAGGGCACACTTGGGAATTCTTAGGGGGCAGTGAAAAAAATGTTGTAAGCACAGTCGATTCTCATCATTTGCAGTGTTTTTGTTTTGAGAAGTTGCCGCACACACTGAATTAGTGAATACAGAATCATTGCTCCTAGGAGAAACATAAGGATAGGTTCCTATGAGCATCTGGTCACACAGTTTGTCCACTAATCAATATGTAACTTTATATTATGTGTGTCTCTGTTTAAAGACACCTTATTAAGCATATGTTGTTGATTTATTAACATCAAGCTCATGGCTAACAACACTATAACTAATGCCTGAGTGAAACTTACCTACAACATGTATTTTCTCCATAAGACACATAACAGCCTTCTTGCACTTAGGAACACTAAAGAACACTTCAGCACTATGCTTGGGAGCCATTTTAAACAGCAAAATCACCAAAAAAAAGCACAACAATGCAAAAACTGTGGCACTAAATAGCCTGCAAAATAATCACTTTTTTCCAATATGAGAGCTGAAACAGGAAAGTAAAGGATTGCCTTATTCCCCCTTGGCTGGCAACATGTGCGTCAGGCAACCCAATTTTTTGTTGTCCTGCACATGTGCATGTCCCTGAATGCCTGTGAAAGTGCTATGAGTATTGGTTTTGAAGTTACAAATTAATTTGAAAATGTGGAATATGCAAATAATGAAGCTTGACCGTGTTTGGTGCTAGTGAAAAAAATATGGCTTCTGTTGTCCAAGAAGATGGGAAATAATCAAATAACTATAAAACAAAGCAAACATAAAGATGCACAAAGAAAGTGTTCAAGGAGTTTGGAATAAGTGGGCATAACTGTAATCAGATGAGACTTCATAGTGAAAGTGGCCTTTAATCTATACGTAGAAGGATAAGTAGAATTTTAAAAGAAGGATATAAAGTAAAGAAAAATCTGGATGAAAAGACATGGTTTTGGGAAATGAATGAATGTTTGATAATGCTTAGAAAAGCCAGTTAACACCTGCCAGAGACTCAAGATGCTTCTCGGACCCTTACCCTAAAATAACTGGTGACAGTCTCTGTACTTATTGCACCCCTACCCTAAAGCAACTTGTGATTCTTTAAGGTCAAATATTTTCTGACTCACATTGGAGTGAGGCAACTCACCAGGCAACTTTTAACAACCTCATGGCTTTTTGTCTTTATGAGCCCCTGACTCTTTCTTCCAGAATACTCTTTTGGGGTTACCTGAATCTGTGACTCCTGAATTGCAATTCTTAAGACTCCAAATAAACTCTTTTTTTTATTTGCAAAAAAAAAGAAAAAAAAAAAAAAAGCCAGTTAAAAAAAAATGATTGTAATAGGCCATCAGGTGGATAGACTAAACCAATAATAGTAAGTGTAAAAAATGCTAAGATAGAGATAAAAGTAAAATAACAACAGAATAAGCTAATGAAATGGCTCTAGGAATGTTATCCATGATTGTATCAGTTTTCTACTGCTGCACAACAAATTACCACAGATTGAGCAATTTAAAAACAGCATACATATCCCACAGTTTCCATGGGTCAGGAGCCCAGGCAGAGATTGAGGCTGAGTCCTCGGGCCAGGATCTCACTAGACTGCAAACAAGGTTTGGCTGGGTTGCATTTCTCTCTGGAGCTCAGAGTTCCCTTCCAAGATCATGTGGCTGTTGGCAACTTTAGCTGCTTGAGTTTGTAGGACTGAGGACCCCATTTTCTTGCTTGCTGTCAGCCTGGGGCTGTGCTTAGTCCCAACATCTGGGCCACACACCTCAAGGGAAGCTCACTTCTTCAAGTCAAACAGGAAGATCTCTCTTGTTTTAAATTTCTCCCTTCATACAAGGCCTAAATTCTCTATTACACAGTTCACCTGATTAGGTCAGGCCCACCCATGATAATCTCCTTTTGATTAACTCAAATGACTGTAATTACATCTGCAAAATCCCTTCACTTTTGCCATATAATGTAACCTAATCACAAAAGAGACATCCCATCATAATCACAAGTCCCATCCGCACTCACAGGAAGAGAATTATATAGGGTACAGGACTCTTGGGGGCAAACTTATAATGCTGCCAAGCATAAGGGTACATTGAGTTCATGCATGTATGATCCCTCCTCCATTTTTTTAAATTACTAGTCAATGACAACTTGCCCAGATATAGCAGTTCCATTTTTGAACTTACTAAAACAGAGGAATCCCAAAGAAGAACCTTTGTGTCCCTGGGTTCAAACTTGGTTGAAGCTTAGTTTGGGATCTCAATTAAGACCAGAGTGATCTGCGTAAGAAAGAGAGAGAAGGCCCTAAGGAGAGGTCCAAGGTCAGGGAGAGGAAGAAAACATTTCTGTAGTGCTGTGAGCAGGGGCAAGATCGAGAGGTATGCCCAGAGACAGAGAGAAAGGGAACACGTGAGACAGCCTTGGAGGATGAGAAGCTTTGGAAGAGTTGGCATGTTGAAAGATTTTCAAAGCTGCTTGGATTTTGTGTTTCAAAAAGTAGCTACTCCTAGGGCTTCCCTGGTGGTGCAGTGGTTGAGAGTCCACCTGCCGATGCAGGGGACACGGGTTTGTGCCCTGGTCCGGGAAGATCCCACA